TTGAAAGTTATTACGGTCATACCACATAAACCTTTACGATTTTACGTACAAGAGGGCGAAATTGGGAAACGCGTTAACGGCCCTTATCTAGCCCTGGATAATGGGTTGCCTAAAACGACATTGTCTTTTATTGCCTTACAGTTACCTCGTAAAGAGTTAACTCCGTGTTAATTAGGATTAGCATCCGTCCGAGTGAGCTTTGACGTAAAATTATGCATAATTAATTAAATTAGTGTAGGAATCGTGGATTCCACACTCACGGACATATTTTATGGCCGGTTTTGCATTTAGGGTTAATCATAAGTTTCGGTTTGGGACCATCTGTGGGTTCAATGAAGAGTTAGCCGTTTTATGTTAAGCAGTTGAAATAAAAGGCACATTCTAACGGTTTAAGGTTAAATACCGTAATTGAATTTCTATCAAGTAATACTATTTTTATATTCGATAAAAGTCGAATTTTAAGTCGAATGCCGAGGCAGATAAAGCGATTAAACTCAAGGTTGGAAACCCGTAGTCTTCGAATGAAAAAATATCTCTTGATAGTTGCAGTAGCCAACTACTGTACACGTGTTCCGACCGTTAGTTAGTTTACTCATAATCCAGAAGATAAAAATTATTTTGAAAATTTTGTAACATAGTTTGACTTGATATAAGGGTTTCTTGACTGTAAATCATACTATTCAACTACATGTTCATAATAGTTGATGAATTGTTTATTATTATTACTATAATTACTTATTACTGTATATTGAATTTATACTTTTGACAATTCTATGTATGAAGGGCGTAATTTTATTTATATAGAAACAGAAATGGCATAAATCAATAAATTATTTTTTGATAAATTTAGGTATTCTAGATATAAATTTTATAAATTAAATAACAATTATATGTATTGTTAAACTATTTAAGTTAAGTTTTTGTAAAAAAAAAAACAGATAAGGAGTAAATATTATTTTACTTAAATGCTAATTCACGTTTCAATCATCGACTTAATTAATTTAGTATAAACCTATTGTGCAAAAAAGTATCGTTTTGTATTTGTCAGTATAATATGAATTGCCCCAACAAATTTTGATACATTTAAAGCCATTGTCTGTTGTTCATTGAGTTGGTATAAAGTCAATGGTAATATTGTGTTTAGTTATTGTTATTCTGGGTTTGATTTTTTTCCGAGCTGAAGTTATATTCCAAACTCGCAACGTCGTGAAACTTGTAGTTTAACAATCAGTGATGGGAAATATTCACGATAGTCTATTAATAAAATTTTTTTTATATAATACACTCCAGAACTTATAAATTTTGCTCACTTAGTTATTCAACGAATAAAGATGTACCTTAGACTATGGATAGGATACTTCATTGTCATATGATTTCTTTAGCAAGTTTTCTTATAAAAATGAGTGCGGTGAAATTAAGCCACCACGAGAGTGAGCTGATTACAATATCTGATCTCTCATATTATTTGAATATACCAACTTTTTTAACCAAGCCATTCTGCAAAAGACAACTTATTTTATGAAACTTTAGCTTCATGTAAGTTGCAACATGTATCTACATCAACTAGCCCAAAATAAAAAGCTATTTAAGAGGGAAATAAAATTTTAGACTGTATCAAACTCTGTGAGTGGTTCACTCAACTACAACCTTTTCAATAAAATAAAATGGTACACAGGTGGTACAGATATTTATGACTACTTCAGTATCCAAAAGTGGATTGTTGTTAAACAGTAGTTCAATCGTAATGATAATTGATTTACATAAAAAGACCTACATTAAGAGACTCCTTCCCTTTCAGTCTGGGATAGTAAACTGTAGCTGAAATGATAATTCTTGGACATGCAGACCGCCTATCCCGTTGCCATGTAGCCTTATCCCCGATCGTTGACTACAGACTACTGTACTGCCAGTGCCGCCACTCGCCAGGCCGCGAACAATGAATTGATTCTGCATTGAATGCCCGGTACTTGTGTATGCGGGGCCGCATCTCGTCTTCCTTTTGTCTAGACCTATAAATCTTCCATTTTGAAATTCAAATATCACAGACTTTTATAGAGAGAAAGCTAGAACGGGGTGTCTGCTACATTTATGGAGGGAGAAATCCAGAACAGAGTAAAGATGTATCGAGTTATGGAGGTGGGTGAGTTTACGTCCTGCTGGTGTATGGAAATGTGGAAGGTTCTTTTATGGTTAATTTATATTCGTGTATCTTCCTAATATTAAGGGATGGTTATCCCAGGGACCAAGGAATAGCAATCTTTGTTATTCCTTTATTCCTTGGTTGAAGGATTACTCTGATTGACTATGTTTATTTTAAGGAAAGTCTTTTCGATATTTAAAATACTATATTTATAATACTATATTTATAAAAATATTGAACCTTTTTTAATTAGAATTCCCAAGTCTGTCTATGGTATGATCTATTGATAAATGCTATGCCGTTCAACGATGCTTCAGTCAAGTTATACAGACTTCTAGAGATCTTGGTCAACCTTACAACGAGACCTGCAGTATACACCATATTTTAGTTTTTTTGTGTCTGGTGAAAATCATTTTGAGGTTAAACGTAAGATGTCAAAAACTGGTTTATATAGTAAAAAATGTCCTCAGGAAATGCATTAAAAAGTTATACATAAAGTATAAATCATTATGCTTTCATTTTTCTACAGAAGATACATTTTGTATTGGTAGGTACCTTAAACAAACATGTCCAATAAACTATGTTTTCACCACACTATAATGCTTTTGGCTGTATTACATACGTTAATTGGTGGCTGAAAGCATCTGAAAGTTACGTTTTGCTGGCCATGCCAGCTGTCATCGTAATTTGGGGACCGAACAGGTTTTTACAGGCCGGGGTTTTAAATACACAATCAAAATCCATAGCATTGCAATAGAATTGTATTATTGTCACCGTTGCCTAGCAACTATTTATTTTTATTTTTGCTGATTCCTCAAATTATTTCTAGTTGTGTTGACTATCAGTGTGCATTATTATAGTAGTGAATAGTGGTAATAGGGTAAAGTGTGGTGAAAAATAGCGTTCGTACCACGGACCGAAATGGTTTTACAGCTCTCGATCGATTTAAATTCTCGACTTCGTCTCGAACTTAAAAACTATCTCGAGCCGGCAAAACCTCATTTTCGGCCCTAGGTACGAAATATACTATTCCGATTGATATATTATTACATTAAATGATATAATGGAGTTCTCCATTACATAGGCATTTTTATTCTTGTATTTCATATTCTAAATGTACATATCACAGTACATATTTTCGTTTATGGAAATTTAAATGGTATAAAATCTGTTTTGGTTTATTTTTTTTAAGCGCATAAAGTGGGTTTATGTGTATTATAATCGATTTTGCATGCCCTCCCTTATTTTAGAATTTGGTATGCTTATAGATCAGTTGAACACAGTTTTGAGAAGCCTACTGTATGTTTATGTTTTCTGTTCAACAAATGTAGAGTACTTTTTGATGTTTGCTGTTTATATCTTGGTTTGCTTCACTTTCCAAACTCAATTCATTAGTAAAAAAAACGATCAACACTATTTATTAAATAGTGCTAGGCCGGTATGTTATAACCAACGTGTAAAAGCGTGCCTATCGTCGATTCAAATTTCACTAACAATAAATACTAAAAAATCACCCTTCAAATTTTGCAATATGATCGGAATGGATGACTAGTCTCCTCCTTCTACTCTGGGTGAAAACATTGTTATTTTACTTGATTATATTTGGCTTTTGTGTTATTTTACTTGATTATGTTTGGCGTTTGCTTCTTATTTTAATTTTCATCGGACTTGGTAGTATTGCAATGACTATCGAAACAGTTTCATATTTGGAAATAAATTTTACATTTTGATATAACTTGTATGTTAAAATTGAAAATAAAAATGCAGTTTAATTTTATCTTGAGTATTCATGTACGTAAATATGTTATTCTTGTTTGTCTGACGCAAGCAACCTTATACTGTAACAATGTTTTATATATGTAACAAGAAAACTAAAATGTTATTTGTAATATATACTTTTATTCAGTCAAACACAATTGGTCATAGATTCTGTGAGAATGAAATCCCGATGGCTACATTATATTGATGACGAAATGGCATTTAATTTTAATTAGACTAAGCTTTTATATTTTCCGTATGATGTCCCTAGTTCTACGCAAGTATATGCGTCCCCATTTGGCTTAGTTTTTGGTGACGGCAACCTTTTCTAGGTTGTATTATAATCAAATTACTATAGCTATTACAGCTAAATAAAAATTACATATTTACACATTCCATTTCAAACAGCGTTTTAACCCCAAACTATTGGAGTACGCTTATTTATTATTTTTTTCTCATTGAAGCAGATTGTGGCTCCTTGGGTTGGTTGATTAATTTACTGATATGGTTACGGATTTGATTTAACCGACGACGTATTTTAAGTTGAAGAAGATTAGGCTAAAGCACGAGTCTTGAATGGATGAGATGATGATAGTTTCATAACTAAGAACACCAGCTTCATTAACCGAGTTCAATTATTAAACTCACAATGATCAAGAACAGTTGGGTCAAGTTTTGAACCATCAATAAGAGACTGACTTTTCACAGGTTCGAACCACCAAAACCTCCTGATTACATGGTGACCACCCTTGTGGCATTTAGGTATGCAGCTTTTATGCATTCAATATCAAAACAGTGATTTAATTCCTAAATATCTGAGCTACGCTAGTCAACATTTTATATAAGATATGCATCGTTGTCGCCAACACCCCAACGCCGTCCCAGCTCCGATGTGTCTACAGCCAACAGCCACAGCCAGTAGCTATGCATATTGATCACTTACACGCATGAGCATGCGCTGCTGAGGGGGCGGGTAGGGGGGCGTGGCCTCTCACACACGCGCATGCTCCACCTGCTTCACTGCTCGTCCGCACCGCGGCGCGCCGATCACCGATCTTCCACCTACGTTTAGCTTCCATTGAATTTTTATTTAAATCTCAGCGAGTTTGAAGGCTCCGTTCTTTCACTTCCTTTTTCCAGATTCCGGTCCGAGTTATTTGTATTGTATCTGTAATGAGTTAGTCGAGTGGTATTATTCCAGTGGTGGTGGATTTCGCGCCGGATTAAATGAAAGGTAGGCAATTGATTGGTTTTACCTGGGGCTCACGAGTGGATTTTAATATTTTAATCGCTTCAGTAATTGGTTTCTTCGGGAAGATTTATTGTTTATAGGAGGGTTTCAATGGTTTAAGCAATTAAATGGTTAAGTGTTTCGGTTCTGCGGTGATTTAAAATAAATTTGAATGTATGATTATTCGATTTTCCTCAATATTTATACTATTACTTCATTAATTTTAATTAAAAGAGATATTGGTGATACATTAGGTGATTTATATTGCACAGCTTTACAATAGTTTGGATTCCCAACGTTTATAATCTATATGTATGAATCTAACTTTAAACGTCCACATTTTCAGTATGAGATATCACAAAGTTTTTTGATAAAATTGATCATTTTTGTGGTGGAAATTATTAAATTTTGCTTAATACAGTAGTAACACTATTTCAAGAACTAAACTACAACATGTTTGGTAGATTTGGAGGCCTTTATATCATCTTTATAACAGTTTTTATTTGAGACGAGCCATGCTCAACGTGCCGTGCGTTTTTAAGAACAATAAGGGTATAGTGTGTTAATATGTTTGATATAAGTCAAAATAGAATATATTGTCTTTGTAACTTGGATTTTTGTATATTGATATGATAATAAGCTCTACATCACTATCAACTGTCCCTAAAAAGATTTACTGTCCACACTACAGATATGGGATACATAACTATTTTCGTCCTGGACCCATACTTAAAATACGCGAGGATAAAAACTTATTTTACAATTAATACATATTTTCAAAAATGTAATAAACTTAATCCATAGCTGGCAAAATTTTAATGAACAACGATTTAAAAATACTCTTGTACAAATTTATTTTAGGTTTCCATATCTGTGGTGTTAATAATTAAATTGTGTCTCATTTACGAAAGCCTGGCTTTGCAGTTGAAACGTTACAATAAGTAAATAGTTTATATTGTTGAGTGTTTAAAAAGCGCGCCTAGCAATGGAGAGGTTGATGGTTTAAATCTGGACCCAGCTGTCATTGTTTCTGTAAATGGTCCTGATAGCTGTGCTCAGGGTTGGAATACGAATCATTGTGAATCCAAATTTTCTCCGGATTTATATATAATATTATAAAATTATAAATAAATCCGGTTTATGTAGAGAGCGTATTAATTTATAAGGGTTGTTTATTTTTTTAACGAACTTTGAAAATAGTTCAACTAAACTATTAAAATAAGCTAGAAACCACGTATTTTCCTCTGATATTACAACAAAATTTGTAAAAACAATACGTTTGTGTTTGTATTAAACCTAAATGTAAATTAATGCATAAACCAAACATACAACATTATGAAGCATTTGTTGTATTTATGGATTAGGTGTATTTATGGATGTTAAATTTTTCCCTGTCTGAATTCATCACTTGTTGTATGAAAAAAAAACACACATTAAAACCACAATAAGCGATCCATGTATTAAGTGTGTCATATCTTTTGGTAATATGAAATAGAGTAAAAAACATACTGTGAAACAAGAGATTAAGTCCAAACCCCTTTAGTTGAGATTAACTTCCTCAAACGTTCTCCTATAGCCTATACTGTAGAATACGTATATGAAAGTAAATATATTACGCTCAATAACCAGCTAGGGTATTGTCCTTAACTGAGTAATGTCATAGTAATATTTGCTTTGAAAACCCCTGTTACCGTTGATCAGCTGACTTCTACATTGTTGCATTGTTTCCAATAGCCGATACACTCAACACCAGTAGATTTATTACAACTACTGATTTATTTTACTGAACCATTCGCATTGGACACTTCAAGATCAACGGCTTACTTTTAAAGCTGTAACCCAAAACTCGTAAAATATTAGAAGAATAAAAATAAAATTGGGTATTTTGTAAACTTTCAACCAAGCGGTCCAAGCCAAACCGAACAGTATTGTGAACCATATCATCTGAGAAAAAACCATTTAGTTTATATAAGTGCAATCAAACGTAATCAAATGAATACACACATCAACACAGACTTTACTAGATTTTACTATGGGATGATAAGTCTACTGTTATTATTTAAAGTCATTAATGGATCAAATACGATCGATGGTTTATTTTCTAATATTACTTAATCACTTGACTAAAAGAGCTACTTACTTGATGTATATATACAGGGTGTCCTAAAAAGAATGGATCAAAAGTAATATGGCATAAACGCTTTATAATTTAATATAAACATTTAACTTTATATACATTTTTTTCCTTCTTCAGTTTTTTCCTACCATGATTTCACTGCCTAACCTCTACATGTTCTCCGTTATTTTATCGAAGAAAGTCAAGTGAGTGTTCACATGCTACCATGGAGACCAATCTACATTTACTTTTGTAAACCTCACATCAAAACTTTGGACGTCCAAGGGGCGTAGCCCGAAAGGAACGACATTCCTATGAAGACCATCTTTGTGCTTAATTTTGACTGTATTGGTTTAGTATTTTAGTCGTGACAGCCACCCAGACAGACATACATACAGACGGACACCACCTCAATTTTATAATAGTATAATAGTATTATTCCAGCTCTGACCACACATTGTGGCACATTTCATTAGATATTTTCCAAAGGCTTCCCTTATTGGCAAGCTTTTAACTTTATCCGTGTTTTTGATCGGTGTGACAGATACACTTGGTCTTTCAAAAGCCCCTAGTCAAAAAAAATCATACAACATATTTCGTCTCTATAAACCATTACACAATGTGCTTTCAAGACTTGAAGACACTTAGTGCACCTCCAAATTGCAAAATTATGTTTTGTAAATTCAAACCTGCCAACAACAATAGAACAGCTGATTACTATTGAAGGTTACTAAAAACAAAACTTGAAGTCGCAAGCTTTAAAATTAGCCATAATTGGCTTTTCAACGGCCCTTGGTAAAATGTATATTAAGCTGTAGATTTGATCCAATCTTTTTGGGACCCCCTGTATGTTCAGATGAATATGAATACAGGGTGAGGTTATAATGAAGTGAGATAATCTGTGTAGCTCAACTAGCATAATACTTACAGTACAGTATACTGTTAGCTGATTATGTAGAAATGGCCATTCATCGTTACAATTAAATCAGCTGTTACATTGTTGTCATTTAAAATTACGTAATGTGTCGTAGACTTACAATCTGCTTTATATTATGCTCAGAAGGTAAACAATGAATAATATTTACGTTCTCTTAGATATTTTTTTTTTAAATCTAAACCTCGTTGTAGGCTTTAATCACTTTCCGCTGTATAAAATCACTTTCAACGGCATCTCTAATTAATTGAGAAGGGCCTGTCTGACGATTTCATAGCCCAGGACGGCTTCAGGGTCTCTAATGTCCTGTTATTTTATGGCTTACATTCCTCCCTTTCGTTTTGTTTTCGAAGTTTTATGGTAGAATGTGAGCTAGAATCCAGTGATGGTCTTTAGTACTTAATGGCGTTTTGTGGACTTAGTAGCTCTCTAACGTGTTATAAAGGTGGGATGGATAATTAATTGAGTGGAGAATGTCGTAGTTCCGTTTAGTTAAGGGAATGGCTACTTAAATGTAGCCAAGAACGTTGGAAAAATTGGATTCAACTTAAAACTGAATATCAGAACAGGTCAGATGTAGGCTGTATAGCTTATAGAAAATTTGATATCATACCAAATTGACGCAGTCTCATCAATCTCGTTGTTAATATTAATTAGTATTCTTATCTTTTGCTGGTAAATACGGTCCTTCATAGAAACAGAAAGTATTATTTGCAAAGGAATATATAAATTAATTGTAAAGCATTGGTTAGCTGAGTAACATAGTTTTAGAAAAACTCCACCAATTGTTTAAGAGCTTATATTATGTACCTAAACTAGTTACAGCAATGAATTCATCATGAAGGTCAAATAAATTTAAATGTCAATTGATGAAATTGAACTAGTTATTATCCTACCTACTTTTTTGTTACACATAAACACGAGATGTATTTAAGTTTTAGAGACTCATCCAAAATACGTTTAATTACAAATAAGAATTAATTATTAGTGAAAAGCAATCACAAAAAAGCTTTCTTAATTATGCTTCAATCACAGATAAAGTTTATTTATTCAATGATGTTTGCAGATGATGTTCAATGAGTTTCTAGCAGTAATATCACCCAGGGTTTATTGGTTGAAAGTAAACAAAAAGCAGCAACACTTGATTAATTTCGATCACAACCACATCAACCGATGATAATTTCTCGACGAGACCCGATTGCAAATCAGTAACCAGCTTGCACATTGCACATTGCACGGCGCCAATCCGGGAATTTCTAATTACCCATTGGCTGGCGACACTGGCTCAGGATGGATCGGTTCAATGAATGAACGAACGAACCGTAAACGCGACATAAAACACAACGCGAGCAATTCATGAATGAAATCGGCATTCGGATGGCTAATTGTCACCGTACGATAAATCAATCGGGACGATAAACTGGCCCCATTAAAGTGCGAAACTGGTAGAGTACCATAGCGTTGCCAACTGTAGCGGACGAAAACACCATCCAGTGTCGCCAACTGAACACGTTCACGTTAATTAGGTATTAGAATGTAACAAGGCTGCATCCCTCGTAACTCCGCGCATCGATAGTCAACGCTTTAAGGTCTCGACGAGATGTATTGATGCGTGCCAAATAAGATGACACAGTTACGTTCATTTGAATTAAAACTTTGCATAAAGGTGTTTTTAGGTATGACCACACCAGGTGCGTTAAAATGAGTGAAGGATGTGTATTGAATGAATAAGATAAAAGATTCATTACTGATAAAGATCATATTATATTATATGATTATAATCATAAGCTTTATTACCGCGAAAGATCAACTTGCTCTTTAGCCAAGACCAAGTACAGCTGGATCCAGATTGAACCGTCATAAAAATAATGACTTTTCTCAGGGTCAAATCTGATTCCTAAACTTTCTGATTCCTACGACAGGCTCAGCTCTCAGCTACTGTGTGACGTCAGTCTGCAGTTCAACAAAATGTTTTAAAGGCACTTTTTCTGTGGCACACGACATTACCTGCTCTCTTGGTGGTAATATATTTAAAGTCTATGGGGGATAGGATGGCATTGAATACGTCAGAAGAAGCTCATAGCAGTCCCAGTAGAAGCTGTTTGACAATTCGGAGGTTGTTAGAACAATACTGCCATTAAAGCTTTGGGAACTAATTCTATTGCAGTATCACAACAGGATCTATAGTCATGTGATATGTTCTGTTGCAATGCTGAAGGAGCAGCCTGAGTCTCTGTCCCCGGGTCTCACGCTCTGTGCTTGCTGTCACACTAGGATCTGTAGCTATGTGATATGTTCTGTTGCAGACGACATTGATGTGCTGAGCTGGTGCTGAGGTGATGCTGGGGCGGGGATGAAGGAATGCTGAAGGAGCACGCTGAGCCTCTGTTCCCGGGTATCGTGCTCTGTGCCGGCTGTCACACCAGGATCTATATTTATGTGATATGTTCTGTTGCAGACGACATTGATGTGCTGAGCTGGTGCTGAGGTGATGCTGGGGCGGGGATGAAGGAATGCTGAAGGAGCACGCTGAGCCTCTGTCCCCGGGTCTCGTGCTCTGTGCCGGCTGTCACACCAGGATCTATATTTATGTGATATGTTCTGTTGCAGACGACAGTAATGTGCTGAGCTGGTGCTGAGGTGATGCTGGGGCGGGGATGAAGGAATGCTGAAGGAGCACGCTGAGCCTCTGTTCCCGGGTATCGTGCTCTGTGCCGGCTGTCACACCAGGATCTGTAGCTATGTGATATGTTCTGTTGCAGACGACAGTAATGTGCTGAGCTGGTGCTGAGGTGATGCTGGGGTGGGGATGAAGGAATGCTGAAGGAGCACGCTGAGCCTCTGTCCCCGGGTATCGTGCTCTGTGCCGGCTGTCACACCAGGATCTATATTTATGTGATATGTTCTGTTGCAGACGACAGTAATGTGCTGAGCTGGTGCTGAGGTGATGCTGGGGCGGGGATGAAGGAATGCTGAAGGAGCACGCTGAGCCTCTGTTCCCGGGTATCGTGCTCTGTGCCGGCTGTCACACCAGGATCTGTAGCTATGTGATATGTTCTGTTGCAGACGACAGTAATGTGCTGAGCTGGTGCTGAGGTGATGCTGGGGCGGGGATGAAGGAATGCTGAAGGAGCACGCTGAGCCTCTGTCCCCGGGTATCGTGCTCTGTGCCGGCTGTCACACCAGGATCTATATTTATGTGATATGTTCTGTTGCAGACGACAGTAATGTGCTGAGCTGGTGCTGAGGTGATGCTGGGGCGGGGATGAAGGAATGCTGAAGGAGCACGCTGAGCCTCTGTTCCCGGGTATCGTGCTCTGTGCCGGCTGTCACACCAGGATCTGTAGCTATGTGATATGTTCTGTTGCAGACGACAGTAATGTGCTGAGCTGGTGCTGAGGTGATGCTGGGGCGGGGATGAAGGAATGCTGAAGGAGCACGCTGAGCCTCTGTCCCCGGGTATCGTGCTCTGTGCCGGCTGTCACACCAGGATCTGTAGCTATGTGATATGTTCTGTTGCAGACGACAGTAATGTGCTGAGCTGGTGCTGAGGTGATGCTGGGGCGGGGATGAAGGAATGCTGAAGGAGCACGCTGAGCCTCTGTTCCCGGGTATCGTGCTCTGTGCCGGCTGTCACACCAGGATCTGTAGCTATGTGATATGTTCTGTTGCAGACGACAGTAATGTGCTGAGCTGGTGCTGAGGTGATGCTGGGGCGGGGATGAAGGAATGCTGAAGGAGCACGCTGAGCCTCTGTCCCCGGGTATCGTGCTCTGTGCCGGCTGTCACACCAAGATCTCTAGTCATGTGTCATGTTCTGTTACAGACGACAGTGATGTGCTGAGCTGGTGCTGAGGTGGTGCTGGGGCGGGGATGAAGGAATGCTGAAGGAGCACGCTGAGCCTCTGTCCCCGGGTCTCGCGCTCTGTGCCGGCTGTCACACCAGGATCTATAGTCATGTGACATGTTCTGTTACAGACGACAGTGATGTGCTGAGCTGGTGCTGAGGTGGTGCTGGGGCGGGGATGAAGGAATGCTGAAGGAGCACGCTGAGCCTCTGTCCCCGGGTCTCGCGCTCTGTGCCGGCTGTCACACCAGGATCCAAGACCGTTTCTACCTTCTGGCTGTCGACCGTCAGTGGCATCTCGGGTGTCTGCAGTGTTGTGAGTGCAAGATACCTCTTGACTCTGAACTTACTTGCTTCGCCCGCCACGGCAACATATACTGCAAGGACGATTATTACAGGTTTGTGGTCTTGAATTTGAATAGTGGAAATGTAACAATTTGTGTAGAGACTTTGGATGGACAGGAAACATTAAACAAACTGCGTACCGTGTTATTAGTACATTCATCTTCTAAACTGTTTGCAATTTAAAGTAACTTGCTAATATTGGCGTACTTACAAATTAAGGACATTTGTCAGAAAGTCACGACCCCTATAGGAACAGCTGTTTAGAGAAGAATTGATTATATGTCACCATGTCATCCTTTCCTTTCAATTCTGGCAAATATGATGGCAAATATTACGTTATGTATGACGCTAGTAAACAGCTGATTCAGCTAACCCTCACGCTACACTTCTTCAGTTTTCTGACAACTTCAAGGAGAATATTTAGATTCTCTGAAGTATCAATAGGCATTGGATGATACTATAATCGAACTAATATTATAAATGTGAAAGTTTGTGTGTTTATTTGTTTGGGGTTCAATCACGCATTAACTACTGGACAGATTGGGCTGAAATTTGGCATGATGATAGCTCGTATTTCCGATTAACATATAGGCCTATTCTTATCTGAAAAATCCTTTCGGCCTCCACCCCTAGTGGCTCTGGAGTTTCCCATATGACCTTAAAATAATCATATGAATCCAATAATCTTGACATATGACACAAATAAGTAGGATTTAATGATGTTCAGTGCCATTAAAAAGTTACAAGGTTGAACTACAACCACACAAATAACAGTAATTAATTAATGCTTTTGACAGTAGTGGTTGTTACGAGGTGCAGCACTATAATTTTTGTTTGTTTGAATTTTCAAAATATCAACGGCTAGATATTAACAACGCATAACAAATGTAGGAAAACAGTAATAGGGGAACATCGAAGTATATAACATATACTTCGATGTAGGGAACTTCTGGACTACGGATAACTGTTGTTTGTTTGTGGAATTATGTGTTTATGTGAAATTTTATGGATTCATTGATCCCTCCTATTCACTACTCGTAGTATTTTTTTTATACAAAGATACAATTTTTTCTCGCTTAGTTTAGCATAGTAATTTGTGTAATACATACGATGCTGGGTTACATGTATGTAAATTGGTATACTACAGAAACCACAAACTAGCAGTTGACAATAAAGAATATTTAATTAGTGATACACTATTTTTTTGTGCTGAGCTCAGTAGACCCTGTTGATGGTTCAATCCACTCTATATTCTTTTATTCTAAAAATGTCTATATTTTTACCATGACAATAAGATTTCCTAAGTATACTTCACTAATTGTATCCATAGTCATATACTTTATTATATACTTGAAAATTATATTCTTGTATAGTGTTTAATTTTTATAAAAGAGGTTTAACGACATAATTCATAAATGCTATCGATATAAAATGCGTGGAATCGTAAACAGATAAACAAACCTTATAAATGTATGTTCAACCATCTACCTTTAGATACCAAGATCTATATGGACAACATGTGGCTCAATTTTTATTGAAATTGAATAAGTATTGAATTATCCACTTACCAAGTGAGCTATTTGTATAGTTATATTTTTAAGTTCCTGATACCATTTACAAGATACGTTATGTCAAGGGTGCGGTGCTACTATCAAAGTATGTCCACATTTTGATTTCGATTGGTTAAAACATTGAAGTATACGACAGAAACCAATAATAATACTATTGACAGTAGACACGCTCTGTCTTTCATGTTTATTCTAAAAAAAAGACTCAATGGGAATAAAAAGTCTAGTTCATAGTTTTCTTTAAGTATACTGGAGCTACAATATAAAAAAAAAAAACCTGGAGCTATACTGGATACAATTTTCCTCTAAAACTTTCCACGTACGTTTCATGTCAATGTCAAGTTTCATGTCATGATCACAAGATAAACTTTTTCCACTTAAGTATAAATGTTACAATTTTTAATATTCTCAGATTTAATATTATGTGCTGAGTTAATAGTAAAAAATAATAACAAACCGGAAAGTGAACCATTTTAATTTGATATATGCACGAAAAGAAAGTAACATTACTTATCACAAGATTTCTTCTATTTGAATTGAAACACACTCCTTGAACATTGGGGGATGGCGCTGCTTTGGCTTTGGCACATTGGCTACAGCGGGGACAGAGCCCGAAACCATGGCAACCGCATTGACTCTGTAACTGGGATTCGAATACAACTGACACTGAATAACACCAGCAACGTCACGTGATCAATACATTCACATTGTTTCCAAAATAACCAGTCATGATCAGAACCAGAGTCCCTCAATAACGCTGCCAGTAGTAATCATATTTATGTTATACATTATTATGTTTTCATACAATGTGCATTTTCTGTGACAGTCTAAACCCTGGTTTTGACAATAACAAACATGGAATTTTATCCGGTACGCTTGGGATCGAAACTGCCACCTTCTTTTACTTTCTCCTCCTATACCATAATACTGTGTATGGAGAAAGTATTATTTTCGTCAAAATTTTCGAGTTTGAGTTTTGAGTGGATGTATTCGTTTTGGGTCCAACTGGATTTAAAAAAAAGTCGTTTTCGAAGTGATGTCTGTGTGTGTCTGGATGTCTACAGAGCCAGGGACTACACCTGTGGTCCGATTTCGATTAAATTTGGTGTGTTCTAATCCATGGCATCATCTCCAAATTTTTTCATTATTTGAAATTTAGTTTTTTAATGTTGATTTTCCCATAAAAACCCAAAAAATAAATGAAAAATAGGATTTTCTCAAAAATGGCCCGAACGATTTTTATAAAAATTTTGTATGTTGTAGCCCTTTAAATTCCAAACAAAACGCTACGGTTCCCATGTCTGTAAAAATTACGGTTCAAAAGTTATAGTAAATTATGCTATTTTCCCATAAAACCCCTATAAAATAACGAAAAATAGGATTTTAGAATAAAACCGGTTTTTTTAACTTAGTATTTCATGGTCCTTACAATTTCGAATGTTTTTTTCACTTTTTCAAAATTTTGATTTTTAATGGAAATTTCCCATAAAACTTCATAAAATAACGGAAAAATCTGATTTTCTTGAATATGGACAGAACGAATTTATAAAAAACTTAGTATGTTATATTCCTTAAAATTTTGAACAAAATGGTTCAAATCCCATTTCCGTAAAAAATACGGTTCAAAAGTTATAGCAACATATGTTATTTTCTAAAAAAAAAAAAAAAAACATAAAATAACAAAAAATTTGATTTTTGGAGAAAGGCTGGTTATGATCAAAATTAATATGTCCTTATAATTCTAAAAAATATTACAAACCCCATTGCTGTAACAATTACGGTTCAAAAGTTATTACAGCTTTATTGATTTTGTCAGAATGCCAATACCGTTTATTTTGAAGGTGAGCGCTAAAATCTTTCAACTACCCCAACAATACAAAAGAATTTAAACATCTTAAATAATGTATTCGTAGGCCTAAGTAGTTTTTGTAAATGTAACTAAAGAATATTTTTATTTCTTTTTTGGTTAGTTTACTCTCCAAAATGGTAGTTTTTTATTTCAATTATAAATATATTAGTTGGCTCTGTCTTTGGATATGGCAAAAATATGTTTACAATTGTTTATTCGGCTGCGTTTTCCGTGTGAATGTGTTTGACAGTTTTCAACCAACACAATTATTAATGACGCTTAAGTTTATATATTTATAAATTTTCCATATAATAATTATTATACAGAATTATTATTTACGGGTCTAAACCGTTCCAAGAACAATTTCTTGGTTGTCAATTGCGTAAAAACAACGCAAACTAATTATTAGGAAGAAATATCCACTGTAGAGGATATATTTTCGACAATTACGTCCATAAATCGCTCCTCAATAGTAAGGGGAGAATTCATCAATTCCTGCTACAACCGAACACAAAAAACAATTCACAAACAAATTAATTCCATCGATTAATCGATTCCGAATTCCCAATAATTGGCAAAGACGCTAGAGGTTGCCCAGAGCCCGTATGTTCGATAATTAGTCTGCTAATGAATATAGAGTTTGCATGTAGTGGGCAAAATTACCGGACTCGAATAATTGGTGTAGTGTTGCAAGCGCTCCTGTCCCGCATTTTCCGCCTGGACGTACAGATTTTTTCACCACTTAAGCTTCCTTTTCATAAAAACTCGCAGGTGGTCTGATGGTTCGGAGACCAGTCAGCTGTTCGTTGTCAGTTGTATCGCGCGTAAAATACGCGCCTAAATTACTATCGTAATCCTTTTCGATCGGGTATCTTTAGTAGTTGTGTCTTCGTCGAATATAAAGTCCATGGTGTAATTGTGTAGTTGGGGTTTGTTTTGTTCTGGGAATCGGATCTCCGTACTCTGTGTGTGGTAAGTAGTGTTGATTATTTTGGATTTTTCTTTGATCAAAAGTGGTTGTAACAACTAAAAGTAAAATAAAAATATTTTAAAAGTTAACTCCCTCTAAGTCACCTTAAAATCGTTGTTAATATTTGCAATCATCACTCTTGTTGTTGTTGTTGGTAAGAACTACATTTTGTAATACAAAATTTGATTTTATATATGGGACAGGATGCTTTGGAGGTAATAAGTTCTCTACCAAAGGGGAGCAGGGAGTTCCAGAACGTAATCTTGTTCCAAATTTTAATTATTTGTTCTGCTCAAACATTCCCATGCAAAGCAATTATTTTTAGATTCATTCTCTAATTGTTTACAGTATGATAAAAACTGTTGTATGATTCGTAGATCATTTTTACACTACTCATTAGAATTTTTACGTGACATACATTTTTTTAACACCTTTTGAATACTTGATTACATGTTTGGACCTTCTAAACAATCAAGAACTTAAATAGATAAGGTTATAAGATGTATAATGAAATTATATTCCTTTGATTTTATATGTTTGTGTCATTGTAGTTTTAAAATTTTTGCAAAGGGACGGTCCAAGTCATAGTTTACTGTTGATATTTTTTGTTATATAGCATCCTTAATTGATAGCATAATTAATAATTGGCATCCTGGTCTTGAATTG